GTTTGAGCTGTTAAAATTTTTCAGATCTTTAAAATTAAAAATATGGAGATGTTGCAGTTTCCATAATTTCTCATAACCAGACTCAATAAATTGAGGGTATTGAATGAGTGCATAGACAAATATTTTTTCATTGACACAACTAGACAATAGTGTAACGCTTACACTTAGCATGTATTTCCACTATGTCTGTAAGGCATATGATGTCACATCAAAATATCAAAATGTTTGTTCACACTTAGAAGCACATCAATGAATACCTAAGCCTGAACTTGTTTGAAATGATTTAACTAATATTTTAATTTAAAAAAATCACAGCCCTATGACAAGCTTTCTAGAAAGGATACTTATTAAAGGAATCATATCTGCAGGTGCCTTATGAGCAAAACCTGTGGACCTCGGGAAAATCTGACTGTTCTATATATTGTAAAAACTGTATATCAATAAAACATAAGTTATAAATTTAACTACTGTACATTTCAGGCACTTCACCATGCACTCTTGATGTAAAGTACTCCAACATTTGGGATTATGCCCAACAAGTGCACTTTTCCCATCATTCTCAACCGGTTGGTCCAATATGTTTTAGGACACCAAGAATGTTCCATGTGTTTGGTGTTTGTGTAGAGAGATCAGGTAAGTTTGCCCATAACAATTTTTTGACATATTTTTTCATGTGCATATTGTAAAAACATGTTTAAAAATATAATCAAGGTAGATTTCTATATTTTTTTTCTTGTCAGATGTGTTCCTTTGCCATGAATTTTATTATTATTCTCTTATGCCATAGTATTTTCAGTTGCAAAAAGAATATTCAGTTAAATATAATCTTAATTTTAAGTATTATTTACTTAAGTAATATTTATATCCTATGCAAACTTTTTTAAATTTCCAATTTATATGTATTTTAGGACTTCATGGAAGTGTCAGTCTCAACATGCTTGGTACTTTTATATCTGGAAAGTGAAAAACAATGCAACAGGTTGCCTAAGTGTACTGTCCTGAAGTCATCAAGATATGGGCACAATATCCTACAGCTTATAGATGATCCAGAAAATCCCTAGGAAGTCATTTCTTAAGTTAAGCCCTCAAACTGTTATCCAAATACCACCATTTTTGTGCAAGTGCAATGGAGCCAAGTGTTATAACATGTAAAGAATATATTAACTCTGTGGAGGTAAAAATGTATTTACTGAAACAATTGCCTCCCAGAGGTCTTTTACCTGAAGTACAGTAATGATGCAGCAAGACAATAGTATCTATTTGAACAAATTGGACAGTTCTTCAAATCTGACATAGCTTAAATACTGTGTGGCCAAAACCAGTTATCCCGAAAACAGAAATAAAGTTGGATATTGACAATTATGTTAAAAAGGTGGAAAGAGAAAGAGCAGTCTTTTACTCTTGAGTATAATTGGAGTTCCTATAACATAATGGTCATGTATGGACTGTCATTATTTTCTTTATTTCAAATATAGCTTATGATACAAGTAGATGCTTCATAAGATAAGACTGCAAGTGTGTTGCATAACTGGTGCTCTAAGGACTAATGCTATATTAACAAGTGTGTGGATCATTGATGCAAATATATTATTTAATGGCTGCCTATATTATTTTTGGATGTCAGTTTACCAGTTACTAATTTCCATCATTTTTACAAAAGTTTTATTAGATTAAGTTAAGTGTTATACAACATTTGTCATTTTACTCTAAGTTATAGAATTCTATTGAACCTATGCATGTTATGAATTGATCAACTGTCAACTTATCTTAAGCTTTGATCTAGATTGAAAATGACTGTATGAAAATGTAAAGTAACATTAAGCTTTAGTACTTGTTGTCAAATTTTAAACATTTTATAGTTGTAGAATATGAAAAATACTTTATCTATAACAATGATAGGTCAGTTGAGTTTTTATGTTGATATTAATGTAGAATCACATTGTAAATTATTGTTAAAAGAAGCAGCAAAATCAAAGAATATTCAATGGTAGCTAGGCAACCAATATTCCCTTCAGTTGGGAAGGATTTTAAGCAGGTGCATCATAATAAAAATACTTTATATGTTTGATCACATTGTAACTCTATAATTGAAAAATAATCATCAATTAGTTATAAAATATTAAAATATAGAACCTTAAATGTACCTGAAAATAAATGTTGTGAACATGATATTAGAAGTATCATTTTTAATTTATATAAAGGAATGGTGAGGCAGGCTGTTCTCTGAATACCTTATTAAGTTCAGTTACACATTATTTGTGGTATTGTTTTCATTTTTTATAATAGCACAAATTGCTATTTTGTAACTAAGTTGTAATCTCCTGTATGCCTGTAAAAATTTGGTAATTTAGAAATTTATAAAAGAAAAAAATAATTATTCATTGGTTGCTTAGCAACTTAATTTTATGCAGAGACAGTTTTAAGTAAGGAACATTTTTTGTAGGAATTATCTTTATGTCATTTCAATTAAATATAATGCTAGTCAATTCAAAGTCCTTTGTATACTTTGTTGTGAAACAGTGTAGTTAACACCAGATGTTACTGAACATACTTTTATGAAATTATGTATATTATCTATATAAATTCAAAACCTATAGTAAAGTGAGTTTTAGGATACTTTGATCCAAGAACTATTATTAAGATTGTATTTGCAGTTTTAATAGTCGTAATTTGTTTTTTGTAATCATGCTGCTTTGTTCATGGTATTTTGAGATCTTTTTTAATCAAACTTAAAATTTGTAAAATTTAAAAGGAAATTATGGAAGATATTGTGGTTGCTTGGCAACACTGATTAATTTTTACTTATTGGTTAGGTATTATGTAAATCAGTTATACAGCAGATAGATATATTTATGTAATATGGAAAGTAACAGTGATTTGATCAAATGCTTATTGGTTATTGTAAAACATACAGAGGAATATACATGGCAAAAATACTGAGTTCTGCTAAAATTTGCATGACTTACTAACACTAGTCAAGTGTACAGAACATGGATTATATGTTATATCGTCAATGGAAAATTATTGAAAAGTAATTAATAGGCATTGTTTATAATTTTTTTGAAAATATATTTATTTCTGCTGCTTTGTTAGCTGTATTTTACCAAGAAATTTGTATATTTACAAAATAAATTACAAAAATTTAGAATATTCCATGGTTGCTAGGTAACAGAATATAGCTTCCTTCATGTTGTATTTGTATAATTATACCCTTTATTTAGTGTTACTACCTTTTATGATGTTATACTTGAGTCATCTTTCATTTGCTGGTGTATTAAACTGTTGTCTGCTGTCAGAGTAAATATCTGAATAAAGTTAATAAATGAATTATAAATGGACATTGTGTTTATTTCTTTTGAAGTTGTATTATGATATCTCTCAACAGTAATATCTCCTGTTAACACTGAAGAAATGCAATAGAACCATTTGCAAATGTGAAAGAAGAATATATTTCGTATTGATACTTGCAAGTGTTATAAAATAAACCTAGCACATAACTTTTTACACGAAAAAGGCCAGGAAGAACCCAGGAATAGGTCCGTTGCTAGGCAACATAATGTAAATGATGCTTTAATTATGGTGGCTGTATTCCAAAAATATTCTACAACATTTATTAACTTTAATAACATAAAACAATTTTTTCACAAATTTCATTTTAGCTTCAAAAGTTGTTTTCCTCATGCACCTTTAAACATCACAAAGATCAAAGATTTTTATGTGTATTTTTAATTACTTACTGGACATCATACTCACAAAATTATGTATATCTTTGTAAATAAGAAAGACACGACCTTCAAATTTTCAGGAATTACTTCTGATATTTCATAGTTTTAGAAAATTAAAAAAAGTGAAAATCAAAAATTTGGTCAAGAAACCCCATTTTTGCATTCCATGACACATATATGTAACAAAAGGAAAAATGGGGCTAGAATAATATATGTGACAAATAATTAAATTTGAAACTTAATTAACATTTTTCCAGTAAATTTTATAAGAATACCCAAATGATACATTTCTTTTGTATCTATCTATATTAATTTTGAAATTCTTATGGAAAATGTGCCTATTGTAGATCAATCCACTTTAAACTCTTTCTATGAATTCAATCACTTTAATCTATTTCTATAAATTCAATCACTTTAATCTATTTCTATCAATTCAATCACTTTCATCTATTTCTATAAATTCAATCACTTTAATCTATTTCTATAAATTCAATCACAGACAACGGCAATACAATAACAATCAACATCACGATATGCCTTTAAAATAAAACAAGTTATAAAATTATATCTGCAAATTAAAAATAAAATAAATAGATCTAATACTTTAACTATTTTAGGCTAACGAAATAACCGGGTACATGTAAACATACACTTCAACGGCTATTAATAGCCTTAATCATATTTTAAAATAACCGGCAATGTCTATATTTCGAGAGAAAAAAAAACATTTTCAGAAAATGTATTTATAGCTTATTTTCGAAAAAGAAACACATGTATGTATTTCCCTAAATAAATATACATTATATAAAATTAGCAACAACAAAACAAAAAATAACAACAAAAATTCCATTAAACCCCCAAATAGTTAACGTTATAATAGGTAAAAGGGAATACATTTCTAATACCTTATTAATTAATACTTAACAATGACTTAAAGCAAAAAGGAAACGCCATTGAACCAGCAACATGGCGAAGAATGACGTAATCATGCGACTTTGTTTCTAACTGATTTGTGTGAATTGAAACATAAATTAAACACTGAAACTTAAGTAAAACATGCATTGCGTATAGTAGATCTACATATAAAACATCAAACAAACTGACACGGGTAAATGATAAAACGATTAAGGGTATAATAAGAGAATTAAACAAGTGAAATAAAGGTCAATAACCGATCTATAGTCTATTTAAAACATTAGATCAATTGATTAAAAAAACTGAACCTGGTTAGGATGATAATACATTTATTAAAACAATGTATTTTTGATTTTGTTAAAACTACATGTATATCATTATAACTTAAAAAAGATTTTAAAAAATAAGTAACGATCAAACATATTCATCAAGCGTGGCTTAAAAATAAGAAGTTTAAAACAAAAACAAAACGAAAAACAAACTGATCTGTTTAACAAAAATACCGTATCTTCACCTCGTCTAACAAATGGTAAAAATTACCAAAAGTCATTCCGAAACACTCGTTATCCGAAAAATCATATCCGAAATCGTCGGAGTCACTGTCTTCCGGCCAAGTACATGCGTAGGTACCATCTAAGTTCTTTCCTGCTCCGTCATGCTTAGGGGGCAGGGGACATATTCGAATGATGGCCCCGTCAAATTTTTTAATAACTCAGACATGGTGTTTTGAAGGTACTGATAACTTCTGATATTTCTCTGTCATTGTAATTCTTTCTTGTTTGTGTGTAGGAAATGAGATATATTTTTGTTTTTTACCCGAAACTAATCATTTTGGTAGCTTTGTAAGTATGTATTTCTGACTCTCCGAATGGAGGTGAAAAAAAGTTAAAAATCTAGCTTTGACAGTTGGCGCCAAACAAGTAAGAAATTTCAGATAAATTTTGTGAAAAATCTAAACGTATGACAGACACTTTATTTGTCATTTCTGAAAATGCCATAGCTTGCACTGCGTGTTACTGATATTTTTAAAGGAATCGGGCGGATTCTGGAGTATGCTGCACCTTCATGAAGATTGCCCATATTGGTATATTTTAGGTGTGATTTTGGCTTGGTGGGGGTAAATATAAATTGCTGTCAGTCATTTTTTGAAGGAGCAATTTTTTATTATTATTATTATGCAAACTATTATTTTCTTCAATGTATGTCATATATCATTGAATAATGCTGTGCAACTGGTTATCTGCTTGTGAAACAGATTTTTAAATATTTGGAATTGTGTTTCTGGTCATACTGAAATACATTTGTTTTCCTTTTTAGGTCCTCTGTCCCCTTATCATGCCATACCCCTCCCGGTCCGCCTCGACCGCGGACTGTAATTGATACACCGCCATTGGTGGTAGTCATTTTCCTTGAAGGGATGTCTCCGGTCTGGACCACCGGAATTTCCCCGCATTTACCCAGTCTGTATAGATGTCTAAAAATCCAAAGACGTCTGTTATCTGTTGTGTACCATTTGGAATTCTTTTGCGTCACCCGGATCTTTGGGAAGCTTGACAGAGACGTCCTGTACCAAAAAAAAATCTCAACTTTTAAAGATCTATTAATTCTTTTCACAAAATAGAAAATGCTTAATTTTCTAAAAATACTTTTAAAAAAAGAACATTCTTTAACAACTGGTTCAATTTATATCGACTTTATCATATAATTATATGTTTCTGCTAGACTTCGACTTTAATGGTAAAATTCCATTGGTTGGTTGATTTGTTGGTAGATGCTAATACAAATCTACATTCAGTATGGCACTGACAATTACACATGCTGATAAAACGATATCCTTGGCCCCGTGTTCAGGATCAGTATCAAGTGATCCTGATTTTATTTTTACTTGTTTTATATAACTAATATTGATTGCATTTGTAAAGAAAGGTGCAGCTTTTTTGAACTTCTTTCGAGTCCGCTTCCCGGCACTAACCAATACTGGTGTCATTTAGCAAACTTGGTCATGAGCAAAGCAGGACTGCAATCTACGGTCCCTGGGTTGAGCGGTTGTCACTTCAACCACTAGATAATCGCTCTGGGAACCATCAGGGGTGAGTTTTAATGCGGTTAAGATATTCAGAAAGACTGTTATTGAGTCTCATTAAAATTAAGCAAGCGCGACGTTACAGAATACGAGTATTTTTTAACTGGCCTCAAATCAATATGAAATAAGGAAGGAGAGTTAAGCACCTATTGATGGAGATTGATTTTCTAAAAAAAATAATAATATTAAAACAGACACGAATTTTTACTTACTTTTTATAATTATATTATTATCCATTCTTATTATTTTATTAAAACCAGATCTAAAAAAAAATTGCAAAGAAATACGCTACCTTCCTTCACATAAATCGTCCAGAGTCTCTCCGATTTTTTTCCCATTCGAAAATGTGTTTTTGATGGAATTTTGGCAATAATATATGTCCGATGGTTTTAAAAGCATTGTTTTTGTAGATGCGGTTCTTTTATTATATATAATAAAAACGTCTGTTACTCCCAATATCACGAAGATATATGAAGTTTTCCTTTCGATCCGTTGTAGGAAATTCCAAATAGGAAATTCCAACATGCATACATATGATGCAATCGTAACTTTCCGGTTTCCCCGACATCACAGACTTTTACAACAGTCTGTGCAGAATAACCAACGAGAGGTTGTGATACATTTGGAATTCCATTTTGTTAACTTCGATCCGTTGTAGGAAATTCCAAATAGGAAATTCCAACATACATGTACATGCATATGGTGTAATCGTAACTTTCCGGTTCTTGCCGACATCACGAACTTTTACATTAGTCTGTGCAGAATAACCAACGAGAGGTTGTGATACATTTGGAATTCCATTTTGTTAACTTTCGTTATGCACGTTTTCGGAAAATGCTTCTGTTACATGTATTTATATTTTTAGTTTAAGGTAACAGTTATATTATAGTTATGTATACTCGCATAAGGCCAATGCACTAAACCCGGCTCCCCGGCCCCAGGGCAGAGCGGGGATAACGAGGGGAAAAAGGGGCAAAACTTTACGCCACTACTTGCCCCGAACTGCAATGCGGTGGCTTTAGCGCCAAAATAGCGGTGTGCAGTGCAGAGGAGAGGGAATTTAGCTGATGGGTGGTCTAATTTATTATTGTACTAAATATATCCCAAAATTAAACCAGAATTGCATTGTTAAACACTTGTTTGTTTGTTTTTGTGGGGATTTTTTGTGATCAGTAGGGCCTGCTTGCTGTATGTCCGTCTGTCGGTCCTTCTCATATCGTACTGGGCCTTCCACTGATGCATCAAAAACAATCACAAAATAATTTTCTATTTAATTATTGTTACTGAAAATTAAAGGGAGGATAATTGTTCACAATCATTTCATTATTATTGAAAAGGCAAAGAAGTAAAATGCTAGTTTTCTCCTGAAAGCCTTAAGAATATACGTGTCCTGTTTTAAAGCGTCTTCATGGTCAGGTACAAAATTGTGCAATTATAAGGCCGAAACGAACACCACGAAAATGAAATGAACGTAAATGTACAAGGAAAGACATTTAAAAGACCATATTTTGTATCTTTATTATAACACTAGTTTTAAAATCATTTCACAACAGCAAACAGGCAAGAGTGATTATCACAGACAAGAGTATAAATAAATGTTGACAAAATGTTAAAAAAAAACAACACAGAGAGGTATAAAAAATAGTAACATATGTGGCACATGAAATAGAAAAAAAGGCGTAAAACATAACAGTAAATAATGACAAAATGCCAGGGGTAAAATTCATGAATTCATTGCAATTATATATGTGACAAATGAAATATGAAGCTAGAATAATATATGTAACAAATGATATATGCGGCTGGAATAATATATGTAACAAGATGACATATGAGGCTAGAATGAAATATGTAACAAATGACATATGAGGCGAGAATAATATATGTAACAAATGACATATGAGGCTAGAATAATATATGTTACAAAATGACATATGAGGCTGGAATAATACATGTAACAAATGATATATAAGGCCAGAATATATATGTAACAAATGCTGTATGAGACCAGAATAATATATGTAAAAACCAGAATAATTTATGTAACAAATGATATATGAGGCAAGGATAATTTTGTAACAAATTAAATATGAGGCCAGAATATATATGTAACAAATGATATATGAGGCCAGAATAATTTATGTAACAAATGAAATATGAGGCCAGAATAATTTATGTAACAAATGATATATGAGGCCAGAATAATATATGTAACAAATGATATATGAGGCCAGAATAATATATGTAACAAATGATATATGAGGCCAGAATAATATATGTAACAAATGATATATGGGGCCATAATAATATATGTAACAAATGATATATGAGGCCAGAATAATACATGTAACAAAATATATATATGAGACTAGAATGGTACATGTTACAAATGACATTTGAGACTAGAATAGTGTACGTGACAAATGACATATGAGGCTAGAATCTAGAATAATATGCGTGAGAAATGACACATAAAGCTAGAATAATATATTCACAAATGATACGTGAAGACAGAATAATAAATGTGACAAGGTCAGAAAAAGTATTTACGAAAAAAACTTAACAAATGAATGTATTTAAAATACTGAATAAACTGGTAACGTTTCAAGCCATCAATGGTTTTAACGTGAATTGGTCTATACTGTTTATACAAATAAAAATAACTTTGATAGTAGATATATATATATATATATATATATATATATATATATATATATATATATATATATATATATATATATATATATATATATATATATATATATATATATATATTTTAGTATCAAAACATAATAACAAACCATGAAAGAATTATGCATGAATGTTGTTAGCAACAGATAAAAGATCCTATATAAGATCTACATAATAATATTTATACAGCAGCCAGAAAATTTTTTTATTTCATCATATAACTGTTCATAATAAATAACTTAGAACTTTATTGATCAACGTGTTTTCCAACAATATGTTATCAGAAAATCCAAATAGTACATTTCTGTTGTTTTTATCTATGTTTGAAATTCTTACGGTAAATGTGCCTTTTGGAGACCAATCCACTTTAACTATTTCTATGAATTCAATCACAGACTGTGGCAATACAATAACAATCAACATCACGATACGCCTTTAAAATAAAACAAGTTATAAAATTATATCTGCAAATTAAAAATAAAATAAATCAAACTTAAACTATTTTAGGCTAACGTACCCATGATATCAAATTACAGGGTACATGTAAACATAAATTATATAAATATACTTCAACAGTTATTAATAGCCCTAGTTATATTTTAAAATAACCGACAATGTCGAAAGAAAAATCATTTTCAGAAAATGTATTTATACTTTATTTCTGAAAAAAAACAACATAGTTTTATATATTTTCCTAAATATAAACAATTTACATGTACATGTTACCCCCCCCCCCCCCAAAAAAAAAAAAAGAAGATAAAAATGAAAATAAATTTTAAAAAAAGCAATTGAACCAGCAACGTGACAAAAGGTTTAACGTAATAATATAAGATATATTATTAATATCATGTAAACGTTATCACTAATTATTTCTTAACAATGCTTTTAAACAAATCAAAACAAAGCAAAAAATAAACGCCCGAAAATAAAAGAAAACTATAAAAATAAGTTGACATGTTAACATTCATCAAGTTATAAAAAATAGTCGTTAATATCAATATCATGATATGACGAAGAGACGCAGACACTGTCTTCCGGCCAAGTACATGCGTAGGTGCCATCCAAGTTCTTTCCTGTACCGTCATGCTTATAATGCCATACCCCTCCAGGTCCGCCTCGACCACGAACTGCAATTGATACACCGCCATTGCCGGTTGTCATTTTCCTTGAAGGGATGTCTCCGGTCTGGACCACCGGAATTTCCCCGCATTTACCCAGCCTGTGTAGATGTCTAAAAACCCAAAGGCGCCTGTTGTCCGTCGTGTACCATTTGGAATTCTTTTGCGTCACCTGGATCTTTGGGAAGCTTGATAGAGACGTCCTGCACAAAAAAATCACAATTTAAGATTTCCCTCCAAAATCTACGAGATACCTTTCAAGTTTCATTTTCTATAACAATTGGTTGGAAAAGAAACCAAGCAAACAAACAAATAAAACAACGCAGAAAATGTCATTGAAATCCATGGCAGTTTCATACTATTGTTATTTAGTTAATTCTTGGTCACTTAAAAATAAACTAATTCTGAATACGATAAGCAAACATAAGAAAATACAAATAGATCTCAACACTGTAAACTCGACTACATGTATATCACATATAATTTTGCTATGTTCAGACATCGATTTAATGGTAAAATTCCATAAGTTGGTTGGAATGCAAGAAGTGCCGCTGCCAATACAATTCTTGAACCCTTGTGCTTTGATTTCCAACCATATAAATAATCATGATTAATTTTAAGTCCAATTGCGAAGAAAGTTGCATCTTTTTTTTCTCGAATCCGCTCACCAGCACTAACCAAAACTGGGTTTAAATATTGATATAGCAAATTTGGCCATGTCCAAAGCAGGACTCGTACCTACGACCCCTGGGTTGAGAGGTAGTCCGGGTTCCCCCAGAGTTTTATTAGTCTTATTAAATTTAAGCAAGCGCTTCGTAAAATATGATACCAGGAAAGTGACAAAGGTAGGTGAATTTATAGAGATTGTATTTTCTATCGGACAAAAACAGACACGATTTTTTTACCTTATTTCTTATTCTTTCGATTTTTAATATATTTTTTGAAACAAGATCTAAAAAATAAAAATTGCAAAGAAATACACTACCTTCCTTCACACAAATCGTCCAGGGTCTCTCCGATTTGTTTCCCATTCGAAAATGTGTTTTTGATGGAATTTTGGCAATAATATATATCCGATGGTTTTAAAAGCATTTTTCTTTTTTTTTCTTTTGTAATCGCGTTTGTTTTTATTTTTTATCGTAAAAACGTCTGTTGCTCCGAATATCACGAAGATATACGAAATTTTCTATTTGATCTGTTGTAGGAAATTCCAAATAGGATATTCCAACATGTATATGATGTAATCGCAACTTTCCGGTTCTTCCCGACATCACGGACTTTAACTGCGGTCTGTACCGGAGAATAAATAGCAGGGTTATGATACATTTGGAATACCATTTTTTAATTTTCGTTTTATCTGTTTATTTAGTTTAACAATGCCGGTAGGGACATGCCAATTTGCTTATTTGCCAACTGCTGAATTGCTTATTTGCTAATTGTTGATTTGCTAATTTGCCAATTTAACACCGTTTTATACTTTTCACAACACAGTCTTCTTATCATTACAGTGCATACCGAAACCCGGCTTCCCGACCCCAGGGAAGTGAGGGAATAACGAGGGGAAAAGGGTCAATTTTTACCCCACTTTTTAACCCGACCCCAGCACAGGCGCTAGTCACATAATCAAATATTTTACATAATCGGTCTATATATGTATATAAAGATATCTTTATATACATATATAGACCGATTATGTTAAATATTTGATTATGTGACTAGCGCCTGTGGACCCCAGCGCCAAAATAGTGGTGTGCAATGCGGTGGCATTAAGCTGAAGGGCGGTCTAATTTATCAATATACAATATACTCAATACATTCCAAAATAACCCAGAATATGTGCAATATCGTGATATATTGCATTGTTCAACACATGCTTATTTTTGTAGGTGATCCGTAAGATGTCCTTTAATATTGTTCCCTGTAAAACTTACTTATCTACGATAACATATCCTCCTGTCGGCTATTCTTATAACGTTCTGGGTCTTCCATTGATTGAAATTAAAATTAAAGAAGAAAAAAAGAACTAAAAAGAGAGAGCGTTTTATTTGTTCCCCTTGCAATGGACAGTTCTGGGCAATAAACATAGCTCGAAAAATTAAGTTTTGTCTAGATTTTAAGATGACCAAAGGACTCGACAACTTTTTATTTTCTTTCATGAATATTAGGTTCTAATTCCCTTTAAAAGAAAAATCTGTTTCACTAGCAACTTTGGTCCGCAGTAATGATAAACAAAATAATAGTATATGGATGGTCATTGAAGATTAAGGGGAGACAATTTTTCGCAATTGGGATGACAAAGATGTCAAATGCAAAGCCTTTAGCACAAACGTGTCCTGTTTAAAAGCGTCTCCATAGTCAGGTACAAATGCATTGTCGTTAAGTGTTTCTTAAACTGGACAAGCCAACTTCCATAAACCATTTCTATAAATTCAATCACAGACTGCGGCAATACAATAACAATTCATATGAGGGAACGCATGCGCAATTTATACATTGTATATTTAAATTTACATTCTACTAAACTATGTAACTTGATGGCATATGTTTCACATTGTTTCCGATATTGACCATTTATAATATGCTACGTAGTCAATCGCATTTTCTCGGCATTTTCCGTCAAACTTTGGATTATGAATAAAGGCCGAGACAGTACGTGTGAACACATGCATGGACTAAATAAACTTTATTAATAAAGAAAACACTAAATATTGAAGAGGTGCTTATCACATGATTTTAATACACAGCAGCAGCAACAACAACAACAAACAATAAAACGTTTGATTATCACAGACAAAATCACAATGAGTATATATATTCCAGAGAAAAACGTATGAAACCATATAACATGCGATAAAAAATTATGACACAATATCAATTATACATGTATATGTAACAAATGATAGAAGACCATTATTGCCTTAAAGGCCAATTCTGCCTCAGAAATGCTATCATTTTTATTTTTCAAAAAATCTGTTAGTAACTTACAGTTTCCAAAAATAAATTGAAATAAATACCGATGAATACTTACATATTTAGTGTCAAACAAAATTTGGACATTAAACTTGGACACTAAATATAATTTGTGGTAAATCATCAAATCATAATTTGACCTTAAACAGCTTTAAAGTAAAGACTTAAAAACGCTCAACAAAATTAATGGTATTTATGTTTATAACCACGAATGAGTGCGTTTTTTTTTGTTAACTAATCACAGAATAACACCATGTTAAAAAAGCAGTCAATATCACAATATGTCTTTTATATAAAAAATGTTGACAGTTACATCTGCAAAAGAAAATAAATATAAAAAATAGATTATTAGAAATAAATTATTTAATGATAAGAATGTCAATCAATCAATCAATTAATTAATCAAACAATTAATTTATTCATTTATTAAATTATCAAAATAAATAAATTCATTAAGTAATTTATTAATTAAACTAAATTATAACGTTGTTGTGATATTAAATAACACGGTAAGTAAATAAACTAAACATAGATAGTATAAAATAAAATGTTAGGTATTTGAAATACATGTACATCAATAGCTATAAATAACCTTAAACTATATCAACATAATTATATTTAGATAACCGTTCGTTTTCGAAAAACACGTTTTCAGAAAATATATTTATCGGAAAGGAAATTAAACAAACATATATATTTTCCCTAAATATAAAAATATATATCTCAAAAATAACAAAACAATTAAAACAAATACACCCACCAACACAGATGTAGCTGAAAACCACGAAACAATGTATTAACGTAATAATAGGGTATGCATTTTTTACAAATCATGCCAATTTCTTACAAAATGTTTAAATGACACTTTTTAAAAGTCTGATAATCTCACATGGCCTTGCCAATTGACTGTATGTACAAACTTTTTGTGTATGTGCATTAAAACCGTGCGACTTAATAGTTTTTCATATTTTTTGTTTGGATTTTAAGTTAGTTATACATTAACACTGTTTTTAAATTGTCATTTGGTGGCATTTCAACTTCTACCGACGAAGAAGGACCTGCGTAGAACCGCCGATATTTCCGTAAATATATATAAGCTAGCTAGATATAAGAATTCAGTTTCAGTTTCTTGCATATCAGAGTGGCGTTTCCGTGAGTTTTACCCATGCCGGAAATTTCATCTGGCATGGGGGGTGCCAGATGAGTCGCGTGCTGTACAATGGCACGCTTAGGATGGTTATGAATGAAGTTGTAATTCGTACGCTGTTGTAAGAAAGTAGTTACGATTGTAATGATAAAAATTTCCATTGAAAATAAAGATAAAGGATTTAAAATATAATGGAATATGGTAGAATATGCAAGAAAAAATATCTGACAAATGTTTGCGGTTCGAATTAGAATATCCGTCCCTTGGTCACCCGCCCATGGGCGGTAACCCGGCAAGCCTCGTTACCACCCAAAGGACGGGTCACCTCCGGACGGATATTTCGATCCGAACCGCAAAATATGACAGATATTATTAATCTGGCACGGGACTCGAACCAACAACGGTGTTGTGCAAATAATATAAAGTTGGCGACCTTAATCACTCTGCCTCGGATATCACAGTTTGTTGTACATACATTGCGAAATTATATATTGCATGCATACTAAATTATAAAACATAAATATCTCTATAAAAATCATAAGGATAAATATTGATAAAAGAATCGAACAACATTTTGTTGATTTAAAATCATTATCTTATCGACAAACCTATTATTAGATATAAAAACTATAAACTTGCACCTACAGAGGCGAGAGGCAATAAAATTTACAAAAATATACATGTTTTAATGTAAAAATAAAAAGAAATAAAATAAAAACAATCACATTGATAAAAATTAAGATTTTAAAATTAGTATTAATATCTTGATATAATAAACTCTTCAACAATAAACCAACCTTCAAGGTCAAGGTCACACTTGGAGATCAAAGGTCAACAATTAGGGGATTTTGAAACTACTTGGAACAAACAAAGAAAAAAACGAAAAAAACAACAGCAAAAAACAACAACAACAACAATAATACAAACAAACAATAAAACACCGGCCTCTGTCTTGTGAAAGTATTTGTGTACGATTTAATCACAAGTACCCATCACTGTCAGAATCATCCGAGTCGTTGTCGTATTTAAAAGAATGAAGGTAGACTGGCACACTATTTTCGGGCCATGTACATGCGTATGTGCCATTTGGGTTCGATCCTGCTCCGTTAGGCTTCCAAAACCACACCCCGTAAATCCCACCACGGACTTCAATCTCCACACCGTCATTATTCGTTGTCATTTTTTCGGACGAAATAGATCCAGTCTTAACCACGGGGATTTCCCCGCATTTCCCCAGTCTGCGAAGTTGTCTAAAAACCCAAAGACGTCTATTATCGGTGGTGTACCATTTGGAATTCTTTTTATTCACTGCAATCTTTGGAAAGCTTGACAAGGGAGTCCTGTGTAAAATATAAATAAATAAGTTTATTTGTCATTTGTAACTCAAGAAATAGTGGGTACTTTTGAATTGTCAAACCATGGTGAAGGGTTCACTTCAGAAGATAAAAAATGTACTCTAAATGCCCCCCCCCCCCCCCCCCGCAACTAAAATTCACGGAAGTTTGAAAGTACTTGTAGCAATTATTAAGAATCAAATTAAAACTGAATAATACAAAAAAACTCGGCTTGCTCTGTCTGTAGGTATATTACAATGTATTTGTAGTATAAGAAAACCCCGGTCTTAAAAAGTCGGTTCATATACATGATGCAGGACACTAAATTTCATTTGAAAGATCATTTGAACGAACGAACGAACGAACGAATGAATGAATGAATGAATGAAATAAATACAGACGTATCAGTTTCTGTACGCGGGCGATCACCGGACAGCTTTTTCATGTTATTATCTTTAACACACAGTTTTTCATTTATTATTTTTCTTTTGTAAAATACAATATTTTGTTAATATAAAAATGTGTCTCACTCATGTTGGAGTCGGATAAGAAGTATGTAACTGCTGGTTAATTATCCAGAATAGCCGGAAAGGTCGACCGACCGCCGAGACCAAAACCGGTTTAAACCGGCGAGAAAAAAAAACAACAAACAAACAACAACAATACAAAATAACATTACCTTCCGTCGCATACATCGTCAAGTACATCTCCTATGTTTGCTCCAGATGAAAATGTGTTACTGATGGAATCTTGACAATAATGTATGTCCAATGGGTTTAAATACATTTTGTTATGTCTGTTTTTATTTTTTATTTTGCTAGAAAACTTCTTCGGAAGCCTATTGCTTCAAGTATGACGGTTACATAAAAATGTGAAATTGGCTACAGTTGAATTTCACCAGGAAAATCCAGAAATGAAACATGTGGTATTCCATGTATAGATATTTTTTGTTTTCTGTTTTCGAAAAATGTTTGTATGTCATTTATATTTTTAGTTTAACGCCTACATGTTTTATCCATAAAAAACCTATATATTTGTTTAAAGGTTTTGATAATGTAGTTTAAACATACATGAATTTAATTTAGCTCGATTTAGCAATTTATGATAATCACTTGCGAAACCGCTTCCTTGAACTAACCAGTACTGGTGTCATTATGAAAAATAATGGTCTTGACCAAAGTATGGCTCGAACCAATGATCCTTTAGTTGCCAGGCAGACACTTAAACCACTTGGCCACAAGTCCCCTTTCGATAATTTAATAAGCAACGGAGACTACAATAATTTCTGCCGTCTGTGGGTTTGATAAAATGAATTGGCACATAGGTAGTATAGAGTAAGTTACAACAAACCATAAAGGAATTATACAAGAGCTGTCCGTAAGACAGCGCGCTCGACTTTTTTATTGCTTGCCAATAAAAAAAGTTTTTGCAGTAAAAGGCAATACAAGAATCTCTGTATTTTTAAAGTGAACAATGGCCATGAGCATTAAGATATTTAGTGAAGAATTATTTTACTGAATTGTGTGATACCCTTGAACACTGCAGCAAAGTTTGAAATGTTTAAGTCAAAAGAGGGCTGGTAAGAAAGAAAAAAAAACTGAGTTGAGCCTTAAATAAATTTAATAGTATTAAACCTTGACAGAGTTATGTCCTCTTGTCTGTTGATGAAGGTCGTGATGGTAAACAAGTATGGTCAGTTTCAAAGCAATACCTCCAATGGTTTTGAAATAAAGTGAGGTGGTACAAAAAACTTAACCAAGCTCAATACACTTTCTAAGTCAAAAAAGGGCCATAATTCTGTCAAAAACCTTGACAGAGTTATGTACTCTTGTCTGTAGATGGAGGTTATGATGGTGAACAAGTATGGTAAGTTTCAAAGCCATACTTGTAATACTTCTGAAATAAAGTGGGGTGGTACGAAAAACTTAACCAAGGTGTGACGCCAACGCCGACGCCGACGCCGACGCCGGGGCGAGTAGGATAGCTCCCCTTTTCATAGAAAAGTCGAGCTAATAAAACCTTTGTGTGATACAGATACATGATCCGACATTACATATCTATATACATATGTTTACGTGTGTGCGTGTGTGTGTGCGCGCGCGTGTGTGCGCGCGCGTGTGTGCGCGCGCGCGTGCGTGCGCTCGCGTATGATAATAAATTTTTATTGAACACAATATTATTTTCCATCAAGGAAATGAAAGTGTAACAAGTCTATAAACAGTTTAAGACATATTTTATAAGAATATCCAAATGATATTTTTTTAATATTTGAAATACGTGTGGATAATGTGCCCATTGTAGACAATTCCACTGACATAACAACAATTCACAAAAGAATTTATATGTGTGTTAATGGCGAATTGCATGATTAAAAAAAAACCAATTATTTATATATCAGACATCAAAATATTTAAGAACACAATATTAGTATTCATCATATAAATGTGTATAACACTGTCAACATTTTTTATAGTAATATTCAAATTATCCTTGTATTTAAAAAAACTTCTGGAAATTGTGCGTCAGTTTTTGTGGTATTAGATAATTATGCTAGAGTCAATAATTCATGATTTGTGGCATACATGTGACTGTCAAAGTACATCCGGGTTACACGCATGCCATTTTAACTCTTACTTGATTTCTAGAGTTTTGATCCTTCAATAGAAATTTGTAATTTTTTTATATTTTATCTGAAAATGTATGAATTAAAAAAATCACAAATATGTCATTATGGGATTAGGTTTATTAAAAATTATAATAAATTGGTTCCATCTCATGGACAATTCTCTAAAGAATTGTAACATAGAAAGTCTGTTACGAAACAAAATACAATGTATGTTTCTCTGATATTTTAAGAAGTTTTATCCGTTCGTGCATGCGCCATTAGAAGGTAGATATCGCGCATGCGCCATTAGTTTATTCACACAAACAGCGAAGAGGGCCCACCATGATCAGACATCTGGTCTGCACTGGAAACATGGGTAAAAACCACCGCCAGAAGGTTTCTACTTTGAAGTCCTACTATAGACAATTCTGTTTGGAGTCCCCCAACCTATTGACTGTCTCCAACGTAACATACTTTCCCAGCATTATCACTGGGCACACTGGCCATAGCTTTCGCAGAAGCGGTGGAAAATATGGCCGTTGTCGGTAAGTATATAACTGAATTTTGTTTTATGTTTTCATGTTTTACTTGAAACACTCAGTGAGACTGGAGCCCACATATGTACTCTTTCAATCTATTACACGCACACGGTGCAATTCATTGCCGTTTATGCAAACACTTCCGTACAGTTTGATATGGGGACGCCACTTTTGCCTAATTTTGGTTAAAGCACATACAGATAAGTGCAAAACGACCCCATAATACAACGGCATCAAATCGAATGAATGATACTTTCACAAATTAACCATAATTTGGAAAATTGGGATATTATAATTGCATGTTTGTAAAAATGTTGGTGCTCACTCGGTGAAATAGATTCCGATCTTACACTGAACTAAACAAATATCCCCTATTTCTTACTTTGACATCTGAGAAACGTGTTTATTTGATGTTTAAAGCGATATTAATTATTTTATATTATCACATAAACCGCGGCGCAGGAGTGTAATAAATTGGTTCAGTGTAAGATCGGAATATATTTATAGACATACAGAAAAGGACGGCTATACTGACAGAAAAAATAGTCAGAATTATATAGGATCACAAAAATATTGCACTTTAATATTTATTTCGTCATATCTTTACCTGAAACAATATGAAAGTGACAGAACCAATAAAAGTAACGTTTATAATGAATATATTTTAATACAGAAAATATGGACGATATGCGACGCAAAGACACACTCTCGCCGCAAAACGTAGCAAGTATGATATGCACCGCAAAACGTCCACATGTGTACGATATGCGACGCAAAACGTCCAGACGCGTACGTTTTGCGGTACGGACGTTTTGCGGTGTTACAAGGCACTATTGAACACCATCTGAATCAACAACTGTATATTATTTGGTCTCAGAGGAACAAAAGAAAATTAGGATTTGAGATACAGCAAAAAATTTACTTGCACAATTTTAAAATGATTTTAAATCATACTGTCAGAGTTCTAATCAAGTTTAAAAAAAAACCTTGATTTTAAAAACTGTCAAATAAAAACAATGACTTATAAAACAATAACTTTAATATAGACATAAAAATTCATAGCCCTATTTTAATTTTACAAACCATGAATCAGCAAATAAGAACTCTTGCTGAGATTTGAACTCAGAACTCCTCTTATGTATGTGATACAATAAAGAGGCATTTTGACAATTAAACTACAAGAGCTTAAAACTTACTAACCATGGCTTGTTATTAAAAGATTAACATTTTTCCTACCTTTTTTTGCATCTATATACTAGTATAGTTTTCAAATAGCCAAATATAGGTCTATTTTAAATGAAAAAAAAAAAACTGGCCAAAATTCATAATTTTATCCTGAAAATTCTTTTTTTAAAACTTATTTAAATGATTTTTTAGAATCATTTCAACTATTAAGTACATAAGTATTAAAAATAAAAAACACACACATAAAATGTTTCGTTATCTTCTGATTACCCATTTCTATATAAGATTTTGTAAAATATTGTCAATTTTCTATTCCTTATGGTTCTTATTTTACCAATCATGAGCTGTTTTGATGATTAAAAAAAACACTAAACTGAATTATCAACAGGAATAAATTCTGTCATGTACGTAAATTTTGCTTTTATAGGAGAAGCAAGTAAATGACTGCATACATTGTGTTAAAATGTAACAAATTCGAAAAATTTTACGGAACTAAATTTCAACATTGGTACTGTGACGTCATATGATGACGTCTTGAAAAAGAACGCATGACGTTATGCGGCAAAACAAGTAAAAATGACTTAAAATCACTAAAAAAGACTGGTTTGACATTTTTGCTTGTAAAATATATCAGAATGATAAGACTTAGTCGATAACAGAAAAAATCGATAACAGGATAAATAGAATGATTGGTCCTATGGATGGAGAACTATCTGACCAAAGGCTCACCCAATAAATTCCTCCGCCTCGCCAGATCCAAGGCACCAACCTATTAATTATTCTCTATCACTTCAGACATCAAGAAAATGGTGAACAATGCAATCAA